AGGGTCTCTCTTCAAACATCAAAATTACATGGAGTTTTTCATGTGAACTAAAGGTAAAACACACAAAGCAAAAGAAGAGTGCAGATTATTATTACTGGAGCTCAATACCTAAAGAAAAGTACAAAAATAAACACTATAACAGCATATAATGTACTATGGCTTCAAACACAATCTTGAAGAAGTATATGCTGGAAATTTCTCGAACTTTAACACAGGATGGAATTACTTGGCAAGCATGTAAAAAATGACATTTTCCGGACCCTATAGACCATCACTCGAGATCTGAGCCCAAGACATCTGACTATCTTTAAAAGACATCTTAACAATCTATACTACTTTGATGAAAGCTGTCTATTAAAATCCAAACATTTCTCATAATAAAAATATTTTAAAATAAAGTAATAGAAAACAAAGTAACTTAGCCCAAGTAATAAAGAAAAATTTTAAATATGGGTCATCTACCCATAAACAATCTTCTGTATGCCTTCAAAGCCTGTGGCACTGGTTTAAAAAGCAATGCAAAAAGCCAGGTGTACAGCACATACCTATAATCCCAGCACTTGGGAGGCTGACGCAGAAGGATCGCTTCAAGTTCCACGCCAGCCTGGACTATTGAGTTGTAAGATACCTTAAACAGTGAACTAAACAGTGAAATTCTGTCTCAAAAAGAAACCCCCAACACAGGAATGCAGAAGTTTTAACTGTCCAAGAAAAAATCATTATTGAATATCAAAATAATTTTGACAATATAGTAAAGAGCTGCTGGTTTAAGACAGCTGTTAAATAAAAATTACAGCTCAAGCAAATCAATTAGTCAATATGCTAAATTATTCAGTTTCCTTATATGAAAAGATACTCTGAATACAAAATCGGCACATTCAATTTGGTTATTAGTATTATGAGGTAGATCTAAAGTGTTTTCAAAGTCCCAAGTATAGAGACAGGGGACTTTAGGAAAACACTAAGATCATAAGGGTTCTAACTGCATCAATGGACAATAATATACTGAAGAGATCATAACTTGATGGTATTACTAGGACATGATAGCAACAAGAGGTAGGGCCTACCTAATAAGAGAGTGGCTCGTGAGAGTGAACTGAGAGAAGGACCCTTCCTCACTGGCTTTTACTCTTTTGTTTTTGTTTTTTTTTTTTGCTTCTGAGCTTCCAGGACATAAGTGCTTACCTCTATTGCATAAGTTGGTCACAATGTTTCTACCTTGCACTGGCAATAGAGCCAGCTGACCATAGACTAAAACTTCAGAAACCATGAGATAAAATATATCTTTCCTTCTTTAAGCAGTGGTTTTCATGTATTTAGTCACAGCGAGGGACAGCTAACTAATATCTCTGCTAAAAAAAATTAGTGTTTTAAAATTTTAGTTTTTGCTTTATAGTACTAGGAATCAAAACCAGGGCACTGGACTATTGAGCTACATCCCCAGCCTATTTACTTTATATTTTGAGACAGGGTCTCACTAAACTACCCAGGCTGCCCTCAAATTTACAATCCCCTGCCTCAGACTCCCAATAAAGCTGAGAAGAGAGGCACGCACCACCATGTCAACCTCTCTAATAAGTATTTTTTACTTCCCTTTTTTTCATTAGTATATGCTTATGTTACATTAATAAATACAATTAACTTGGGGTGCTGATCACATCCTGATCATTTTTATTTCCCCCTACATTTAAGAAGCTTTCATCAATCTTTAGCCAGTTAGGCTGTTTGTCTTCCTAAACTGTGAAGGCTTCAAAGGGGCCAAACTTTGCTTAGCTGAGTACTCCATTTTAGGGCCGCAGATACTGAAGAAGGTTAAAAATCCTTCACTACTGACTAAACATGTCTGGTCAATATTAATATAAAGTACTTTACCCGGGTCCTAAGTAGGTACTCATGATTTATCTCTTAGAAGATGACAAAGTACAA